ACGTCATTCAGTCGACCAATCAGCGCGTTGTGCCATCTGGATATTTAGTCGCACGTGGCAGGTGAGGTTTGTTCGAACAAAGTTCCTGACGCATGCGTATATCATTTTGCAACGCGAAGAATAATTTGCAATGCATGCCGGTTCTAAATCAGTTACAGTTAGCGACTAGGGAGACTTGAATAGGAGTAACGCGAGTGACCTAGCCTTATTGGATATTGGAGGTGTATATGATTACAAATGAATCGTACAAGCAAAGAAAAAATATATAAAAGGTCAACAGGTTGCGCACGATATCCCCGGACGGCGAGTCGATTCGCGGACTATCCGGATGGATGTAACACTATTGCCGTGCCCATTTCAATCGGTCCGAGTCGTAGGTGGACGAAAATATGAAATAAAATGGTTCAAATTCTTACAAGATATTATTATTATTTATTGTGAAATTTTGCCGACCCCTAAAAAGTGCCGCCCGAGGCGGCCCCCCTACGCTACTGCTGCAGCGAGAAAAACAATCGAACACGTCTACATGCAGAAATAGCACACTATGATTATTGCTCCCTCTGGTAGATATGTTAACAAATAACTTTAGCCTGTTTTGAAACAAAGCTTTCGCCTTTTATTCTTCCACCATAGCTTAACATCCAAAAAATCACGGAGCTATAATACTGGAGTGGCAGATCAAGTAAAGCCAGTATATGCGCGCGAAACAAATGGGTCCTATTATTTGTGTCTAGGGCTACACGCTCGCCAAGTTTCGTTGGCAAGGGCCAAGGGTCAAGGAAGGGCCAAGTCGCCAAGGGTAGGGCCAGACGTTCGAATTAGATTCGAATGTCTGGCCCTGCTCTTGCTAGCAATAGGAATCATTTTTGAATAACTTTAATGAATAAACATTAATTTCGAATAACACATTTGATCACAGTATTTCACAGGCTGTCATATCAGAATTTTTATTTTAGTCTACTGAAAAAAGATCAAAGTGAAAAAGTCATCCAAAATTTTGTCGGTCGATAAAAATCCAAATCTGGAAATGCTGAGCGGCATTGCACAAAATTGTCTTCGGTTCTCAACGTCACTTCCTTTTCTTCCCGAACAGCAAATTCGGGGAGAACGTCATTAAATCGTCGGATGTGGTGCATGAGACCCCCGTTGTACGGAAGTTGGACATTTTGCTGTTTTTCCTGAAATGTGATTCAATTTCAGGCTGAATGTCGAAACAAGCGGACTAGGATTTATCGCCACTTTAATAAAAATATCGCAAAATGGTGACAGCGCGACCTCTGCACATGATGTGTCAAGTACGGTATATTAGACTATCCTTCAGCTTATCCACGACAGCATGATTTATCTAAGACCGTATTTCAGCTTATCTAGGATATCAAAAATTTTGAATTTTACTGAGGAAACTAACTCTTAACAAATGTTCGGAATTTCTTCCTTTGACCTCTCCATCACATTTATTATATCATTTTCTTGCATTTCAAATACACCTAACAATTATTTAGTGTATCTGAAATGCTTTTTTTCACTACATATAAATTATATGCTATAGAAAGTTCTACTTTATCAATCATTCAAACAAAACATGCGAATGATTTCATCATCTTGAGTATGTTTATTCAAAAAGTAAAAAAAATATCATAAGTTTCAAATAAAAATCGGTAAAGTTGAGCAACGAGTTGCTCGACTTTACCGACAACATTTAAAGTTTTGGTGACGCCATTTGTTATCGTATTTTATTAAAAAACATTTTTTAACTACTATAAAACGTCAAAGCTTAATTTTGAGGTAGACATAAGTTTCGTAAAAAGTTGTAAATGCTAATAACGAGTAAACTCGTCATTAAGTCCGACTCTACTAAGATAAAGGGGGTCGTATGTATCTCCCACCCCTCGCCTTTACCTACCAAAATTTAATAGCATCAATCCTCCTAACAAAACCACCTGCAAAATTTCACTAATTTTTGACAGATGTAAGAATCTGGACGAAACTTTCCCTCTATACTCCACAATACACTCCCTCTTATAACAGCTGGGAAAATAAAGTTTATTTTTGTCCAGTTTGGTTTATATCTTTTGTCATCTCTGATGTGATGAGAGTTGAAATATTCTAGCTATTCTGAGTAGTTTCTAACATATATTGCCTAAATTCTAATCAGTTGAGTATAATGTTCTTGTTTATTTTAATTTGTGTGTTATAAATTAAAATTTAAGTATACTTGAACCTCATTTCTTTACAGAACAAAGATCTGATGGTTGTGCTGAAAAAAAAAAGGCTAGAAAGATGAAGTTTGCAGGGCATTCTCTCAGTTGAATAAAGCCTACTCTCCTTTGGGTGGGAAGAAATATTGTCATACCATATTGAGTGGCAAAACTACCTAAACATTGTTTTTCAAGAGTGGATCCTCTTGTCCATGCGGAAACAGATGCAAATGAGAGAAAGTGAATTCATGAAGAATAAACAACTTTTTCCTTAGCTTTATCTAACCAATTCTGTAGAAAAAGATTGCTTATCTTAACTTACTAAATTATGATAAGGACAAGTTTGTTTTTCCCCTCCATCATAACATTAAGACTAATTTACTAACCTCTATGTAAGAAAGCGGATGAGCTTAACTTTTTCCCCACCTTATTGAACTAACAGTAGTTTAGTAATTTGTCACATCCAATCAAAATAAGACATAAGACCAGGGCTATAGGGAGAGAGTATTCTCCCTATAGCCAATCTCACCCCCATCGAACCGTCACCTGTTTGGTCCCCTAAAAAGTGCTACGGGGACAAAGATTCATGTCTGATGATGTTAAAACTGGTGCATTCGTGGTTCGCAGCTTGGCCAAAAACATTTTCTAATTAATGAAAGAATAGGAAAACTTGTGGGCAGATGACAGTGTATTGAAAGGCAGTGTGATTATGTCGAAATGATATACAGTGGGTGATCGGTTAACGAACAGATCAGACAATGAACAAATCGGATAATGAACACTTTCGCGATGGATTTTTATGTTCGGACAACGAACACATGATCGGATAACGAACACCCCACAGAACAAACACAAGAAGAAGTGACATAAAATAATGAATACTCATTGGTCTTCCCTCGTCTTCGGGCAACAATTCGAAACTTTTCAGAGTGTGGGAGACGTCGACATCGACGCTCAAGCCGGAATATACCGATCGGATAGTATTCCTCCGAACTTTGAAATTCTCCCTTGTAATTCCAGCCTTTTATTTTTCTGACAAAACAATTCTTTTGTGTATTCGCGAGACTATCAGGTAGGCACTCGTTAAGTTTTGCATCTGTTTTTCTTTTCGAAAGGTGAGAGTATAATAGCAAAAGTAGAGAGTGAGCAGAAGATGCCTAATGTTGCTGGGTAACATGGCGTAACAGGTAAACAGGTCATCGAAGAGTTCGTAATGTAACCTAAAACGGATCTGACGACGGAAGAATGCCAAGAACTCTCGAATGAAGAACACCAAGAAACTCGACGAGATACGTTTTCTTCCGAAAAAGAGGATTAATGCTGATATCTGTTATTAGAGATTCTTTGTAGAAGTGGGAGGATGTCAGAACGACGGTCTTAGAATGGCATCCAAACCAGGTTGAGGCTTCGGGGTCTCTACAATTATAATGCTATTAAGTACTTACGAAAAATCGTGGAGAGAGAAAAGCGATCGACATTAGACAGATTAACCCTTTCAACCGGAAAGAATATGACTAATAAAAATGTGAGACTGTGTATATATGTATTTTTATTATTACATATAAATAAACGTAGTAAGAAAGTATATATATTTTTTTATTTTGGGGGGGGTCTCCAGAACGAATTAATTAAATTCCCATTAAAACCTACGGTAAATCGATAATCGGTTAACGAACAATTTGGATAGCGAACAAAGTCTTGGAACGGATTATGTTCGTTAACCGATCACCCACTGTATTTGACTTGCTTTGGGTTAATTTACAATAAATTCTACAGCCAAAGTGGGGATAATTTTTGACTTACCCTCGTAGATAAGAGACTGATTTGCACTTCCAATGTTAAGATTTGACTTCTTGAAAAAATTGAAATTATTCTTGATTAATTGCAGTATGGAGCTGCTTAGAGTTTAAAATGGTGTGTGTGTGTATTAATTTACTAAGTAAACAATTTAAATTTATCACCGATGTAAGAATTGATAAATACAAAAACTAGCTAATTTTTTTTTACAAGCTAATACTTTATTTCTAAATTTATAAAATCAATTTATAAATTTACTTATTAAATGCATGCAAAGTTATGAATGGATTCAAAAGAAATTTAAAAGTTCACAACTATATTTAATAAATAAGATTTTGTTACTTTAAAATTATATGATATTTAATTTGGAAAATTAAATATTTAAAATCATTCTTTTTAGGAAAAAAAAAATGTATAATCCTAAGAAACTAGTATACAATAGAATAAAAACAGTCTCCCCTTACAATCTCATTGTTTTTATTTTTAAATTTCAGGTGCAGAATAATTTAAACAAAGCATTTAAATATGATAAAATTTTTCTGATAAACAGACAATGAAATGATAATTTAAAATTAATGGCAACGGAACAAATGACAATTTCGGAAGAATTTGATAAAGTTTTGGCCATAGAAAACATTACTAGTACTCAACATTGATTACACACTTTAAATCTGTACACGTCAAACATGTATAAAAGTTTTTCTATCATTCTGAAATTACAAAATTATAGAAAACCTTTCAAAAATTGATAAAAACCATCTTTAATTAAGTAACAAATTTAATCCTTTGTCTTGTCATTTATAAAAATGTTTACAATAAAAGCAAATTAGCATAGAAACAAAAAGGCATTTAAATCTTATGTCTTATAAAAATTTTGAAATGGGTAAGAAAAACAGTTTTTGATAGAATATTTTGAAAAAACCAGATGCAACAATAAGCTTGAACCTTACTGCATGGACTTTAATAGTTAGGCACTAGACGTTCAACACGAGAACATTCCGAAAATTTTAGATGGATTACAAAACTGTCGTTTTATTGTAAACAAACTGACATTTTACAAGTATTACATTTGAAAATTCGAAAACAAATAGTCACGATCATGTGATATTTTCCTTTCATAACACTTGAAAAATTTCTTAGTAGATAAAAGAATAAGGCAATGCAAACAGTCATTAAAAATATACAATAATACAAATTGCATGTTTTTCTCATTCATTAATTAGCTAAAATGCTTTGAAGGACGATACTAGAAAATAAACATTTCTGTACTTTTAGAGAAGAGGGAAAAAATTGGTCGAGTGTATTCAGTTGAAAATTAAGTTTCTTAACTAAGAATTACCTTTCTGTTCGTATGTCTTGATTCATTTAAAATTTTTTTAGGGAGGATTTCTTTTGACTCCACAAATTATATACCAATGTTACAATTTATGAGCACTTCTCCATTGTCAGGCACAACTTTTAATGGATTCCATTGATAATCTGCATGACAACTGTACAACTGCAGTATCATAGTTTAAGAGTATATTAACAAATCACTATTTAAAAACTGCATTCCATTCACATTAATTGGCAATGAATCTTGAGGTCTAAGAGCTACACTAAAAAAAAAAAAAAAAAAAAAAAACACACATTTATTAACTTATTTTTTTTTTATATTTAGATCCAATTCTACTTACTCTTAACAACATTTAACTCCAGACTTTCCATCTGGAGGAGATACACGGACTTTATCTGGAAATTCAGACTGTTCCTTTCCAGCCATTTGCTAAGAACAAAAATGTAAAACTAATTAAAAAATGGTCTGACTTAAATGTTTTACAAGGTTTTAAACTAAGAAAAAGTTTATAGTATATTCCAGTTAATTGGGACTTCCATCTATTTGGGACATATGGTATATTGAAAAGATGGAAACAAAAGTGATAAAATGAAGTAAATTTAACTTATCTCGGATGTCCTGCCACTATCAGTACAGCATACAGAATATAGTATGTTTTAATGGGCTGATGTTGAAAACAGTGGAAGAGTTAGCTTCAAAAGATAGGTCACAAAATTTCAGAGTTACAGATGGGTGGTTATAGCAATGGAAAACCCAACATGAAGTAAAATTAAAAAAGAGGGCATGAAGTTGAATAAAGGTGCTGACAGAGTGCCAAACAGGGAAAATCAATTAAGTTGTCTGAATTGCTACAGAAATTTAGTCCTGATCAAATCTACAATGCAGATGAAACAGGAATGTTTTACCATGGTTTCCTGAGTTTTAAACATTAAATACTGTCAGCTTCAAAGAAAAGCAATGGATCATATTACCATATTGTGCTGGTCTAATATGTCCAGAAGTCATAAATGGAAGTTGATAATCATTGGAAAGGATGCTAAGTCCCGGTGCTTTACAGGTCTTAAAAATGGACTGTGTAGTAGTTGACTATGTCAGCAAGAATGCAAGGATGATTTTTCTCCCAACATTTTTCTGAAGTGGCTTATAAGTTAAGACACAGAACTGCAGAAAAAAGTCAATAATTCTGATGCTCGTCTTCATGTTGAGTGTTTAAAAGACATCCATCTGGAGTTTCTTCTGGCTAATACCACATCTTTCATACAACCAATACATATGGGAATAAAAAAAAAAGGTTAATATTACCCTAGGTATCGAGATGGCGGCATTTCCGGTAATCTCGTATCGGGGTACCAAGTGACGCTTGCGATAGAGGGCGCTGAATTTTAACACGGCAGGATATGCAAATTAATTCTGCTAAACGGACGATGGGCGTGTGCGCGTGTGAAATATTTTTGTGTGACAACGACGACGAAGAACTTCATGGTCGGTTTGTTACGAAAATTTGGTGTTATTTCGTTTAAATCGAATGCGTTTTTTTGTTTTTTCCCCTCATTATTTTTCTTCCGAATAAGTGATTTGGATGTTACCTCCGGAGAAAGTTCTGGCAGGGACATACTACCTCCCGGGACTTTTTCCATCTACTCGAAAGTGACTATTCCAAATTGGGTCTGGATCCTGGAATCGACGAAGGGTTCGAAAATTTGCGGCAAATCTAGGATTACGGCACGTTGCCGACAAGTGTGCTCAAAATGTCTGAAACCTTGTACAAAGTCGTTTATCACAACGATAGGAAATCCTGTGCAACGAGATGTCAAAAATGCTGTTTTGACGGATGAATGGAAGGGATACAACAACAGACGACCTGGAAGGCATAGAAATCGCCCGCAAGATGGTTAATCATTCAGAGAGTTTTGTGAACCCGCAAACAGGGGTTCACACCCAAAACAGAGATTGTGGGGGATACTTGAAAAACGAGAAAAACCTACCGAAACGTTACACGGAAGACCTATCAGATTCGTACATGTACAGTTTCGTGTATAAAAAATACCAGGATTGGCCCTCGAAAAAACCAGGCGAACATTTCTACATTTTTGCGCAACATTTAAGAGTAACATTTATCCCGGATCCGGAAGATTACCATTATGGGAAGAGCCCAAGACCGTGCCCACCGCTCCCATTAATAAAAGTAAGAAGAAAGAAAACACGGCGGAACAAAAAGGGGAAAAAAGGAAAAACGAGACATCACGCAAAAAGTAGGAAAAAAACAGAGAGAGAGAGAAGCATGTGAACATAAGTAAAAAAAAAAAAAATTACGCATTATTTTTACTTTATATATATTTGTTTTAGTAATAAGAAAAAATTATGAAATAATATTATTATTTCGTAATTTGATTTGTTTCACTTTTGGAAGGGCAGCGGAGCCGCCACCGCCGAGTTCGCAAATAAGATGGCGACCGGAAGCACCAACCGAGTTGGCGACTGACACTATGTTCGATACCTAGGGTAACATTAACCAAAAAAAATTAAAAACATTGTATTGCAGAAGATTAGTACAATACATTATTGAAGCAATTGAAGAAAAATATCTTGGAAGGAATTATATCTGAATTTGTAAACAAGATTACTATTTTACAAGCAATACAATTTGCCACTGGTAGTTAAGAAAGAAGCTATAGCAGAATTCAAAACTGCTTTTCTCATTGTAGTTTTAAAACTACAGAACAGGAAATTCCTTATCTTTAAAAATCAGTTATATCTGGCAACTGCTTACAAACTACAAAAATTTAATTTTATAGTTCATGAAGAATTTTTATACATTGATGATAACCTTCCATGTTGCAATGAAAATGAGGATTGTGTAGATGCAATCATTGAACAACTTGTTTCAGGAAAACCCCTAAAAACTAAAGATAAGAATAGTGATCAAGACTATATTCCTGATCAAGACAGTGACTAGATAATTCAGAAATAAATTTTTCTGGCTAAGACGAATACTATATGCAAGATGGAAATTACGGAAGTCCCATTTCTGCATTAGATGCCTGTTTGCAAATGAACAAAATCAGAAAAAATCAGAGTATAAAGAAAATACATTAAAATATACACTCAATAAATTTCTGGAAAAATAATTTTTTCACTTATTGATTATGATTATATTTTAAAATATATGTAAATGTTAAATAACAACATGTATTCAAACTGAATATATGGAAACTTACTTTATTTAATATAGCTTCTGCTAATTCTGTAAAAGCTTGTTCAATATTTATATTTGCTTTTGCACTTGTTTCTAGAAATCTTATGCCATGTTCTCTTGCTATCTGAAATTTAACACACAAATATGTAATATAAAAAAATTTATATTTGATATGATTTTATAAATATAAAATATCAAATCAATATAATATACTATTAAGAACTTACAGTTTCTCCTCTTTCCTTTCGAATCATTCTTTCATTATCTCTGTCACATTTGTTACCTAATAGCATTTTCTCAACATCTTCATTTGCATGCTAAAGTTAGAAGAAAATGTATTTAAAATCAAGTGTAAAGTACTCTAAGTATTGATGGAATAATTTTTAACTTTGTTACATGAAAATTTTTTTTATTAAATTTAGGTCAAGTTGGTTCATATGATAAAATTATACTACATGAATTTAGGTCAAACAGATTCCAGAAAGTAAAAACATTTTTCTTCATTGAGTTAATCAGTTAATCCTTAAATGACAATGTTAAACAATACCTAAATATTTAACATCAATTTTTGTAATTTTTAAAATATGCATTATTATTTCAGATCAAGAAATTCAAAAAGACAATTAGAAAAAGGCTCATCTTAATTATATTAATGATATTTTTTCAGTGGCAAATTAGATGATTTCACATTAGTCACAGCTTACAAAACAGTATGTGAATAAAAATCAATATTTACTTTCTCACTGAATAATCTGATACTTAAAACATTACTAACAGTGCTGTAGAATATTATTATATGCTAAATAAAATATAAACATATCTACATTATACATATATATAGTTTTACTTCTTATCAGTAGATAATAAATCTTTTAAAAATGACTCAATAAATTAGATGCTATTAAAATATTTGTTTTCTTAAAGTTATTCATGCATGTATATAGTATACTAGCTGTTACCCGCAACTTCGTCCGCAGAGGTTTTGCAAGCAAATCCCATTTACATTCAATATTTCAATAATCATAGTAATTGTTAGGTCTATATAACACCTACCGCTGAAGAGAATTGCCGAGAATCAAACAAACCATTTTCAATTTGATCAATTTTCTGGAGCATTTACAATCGTTCTATAATCGAACCAATATGCAATAACAAATTTGAATTTAAAACGGTTCAAACACTTTTAAAATTGAAATAGATAAAAATATTTATAACAATGTCTGAAATGTTATCAATTTAATACACCTAAGTACTCAATGAAGACTAAATGTAGTTGAAGACAAAAAAATCACATCTAAAATAGTAGAATAGAAGCCGTTTTTCCGGTTAAGCCTTAATGCTCTCCCTCACCTCCCCACGGGAGAATTTCTAAAAATTCCTTCTTAGTGTGCATTGCCATGGCATATCCCACTAAAACGCAGATAAAAACAAAAAAAATCGCATCTAAAATAGTACAGTAGAAGCTGTTCTTCCGGTTAAGCCTTAATGCTCTCCCTCCACTTGGGAATTTCGAAAAATCCCTGTAAGGAACCAAGTCAGAGCTTTATTTTTATTTTACTTTTATTTTGCTTTTATTATATTTTTGTTTGGGCTTATGTTTAGTTAGGACAAAGGTTTCCTCATCCATCACCCCAGAATGTTCAAAACAAAAAGATAAGAGATTAACCAACTCACCGACGACGAAATGACAGCGCCATAGCTAGCAATCGCACTCACGTGCTCGCCCGAGCGGCAGAATTGTAAGTCCGCATTGAAGGGGGGAACCCCAATAGACTTTTTAGGAACTTGTGTAACCTTCAACTAAACATCCCGATAATTGTTAAAGAAATGTTGTAAAAGGTTAACAAAGTATTGTCGAGAAATAAGCTACCAGATAAAGAAGATAAAACAAGAATGTTACGTGTAGATATGTAAATGAGGGGAGTGTCTCAATTAGAACTGTGACGTCACCTCAGACTATAAGTACAGTAGCTCAAGTGAAGACAGACGAGGTGAGCTCCTGAACCGAAAGCGTTGGTCTGCTGGTAGCAGTGAACAAGGTGTCGAATAGGAAATCCTAGTAGGAGATTGAAGGTTCGATTTTGACAATAGGAAAAGAGGAAAGTCTTGAGTAGAGGAAAGGGTTCCGAGTATTAATTGAGGTGACGGTTAGGATTGATAGTTATAAGAGAATTTGTATCTAAGTTAAGAATTGGATTTTGTTTTGTCGGAATTCCAAGGGGAATAGTTCTAAGTTAGAATAAGACTTAAGTTTGTCGGGTTGATTTGTGATTTGATTTTTGATTAATAAATTTGTTGTTTGTTTATAAATCTTGTACATAGTATTGGTTAAACTTGATTAAACATTTATTATTGAGATTTTTTTGTGACTAACTTTGTCCTTAATTTATTTCGGTGCACGCTAAAAGTCCAGGCCTGGCAACTAACAAACGCGAACCCGCGTAAAGTACCCGTTAGGTCCCGGCTCTAAGAAAAATTCGTTGTAGAGCAACAAACTAAATATAGTACTTTACATCCCTTCTTAGTGTGCATTTTCATGACGAACCCTAACTGTGTACCAAATTTCTGCTCTTTAGGTCCAGCGGTTTGCTCTGGGCGATGATGAGTCAGTCAGGACAAGCAATTTTATATATATAGATTTGCAAAATTTTCAGTTAAAGTTTCTGTACAAACTGATAAAATTCCTCAAATAATTTTAAAAATTTCTTAAAATACATATAGAACAAACTAACTTCTTAAAATTAAAATCCGTATGCATCTAAGTTTAAGTATATAAACATAATAATTAAAATGATAAAAACAAAGATTGTGAAGTTCTGAATTTTTTTTCTGAGAATTAAATAAAAACAAAAAAATGGCAACTATTCAGTTAAAAAAAGCCATATATGATATTTTTAATCTATTTAATAGTTCAAATACTATAACATCATTTAAATTAAAAAAAACAGCATAGCAAGGCAAGGTTTTAAATAATTTGTTGTGTATATTGTGGGGGAAATTTTTATGACTCAAAATTTAAGTTCTATTAAATAAATTATAACTGCTTTAAGTTCAAAATAATTTCATTAAACCAAAACTTCCATAAGGACATTTGAACAAATTTGTTTTTAGATAAAATTTTATAAAAAAAATGAAATTTTAAATATACTAAACTTACTTCATCTATATTCCGTAACCATTTAGCAATATTATCAAAGCTCTTTGGATTAGTAATATCATAAACTAGCATTATACCCATTGCACCTCTGTAGTAAGATGTAGTGATTGTATGAAATCTCTCTTGACCTGCTGTATCCCTATAAAAAATTAAAAGATGCTATTAACATACAATAAATTAGTAAGAAATCATTAATCATGATAGTTTTTATTACAAAATAAAATATATCAGATGAGCCCAGCATTACTCAGGCAAAAAGTGACGATAACAAAAATTAAGTTTATTAGATCATAGCCGATCTTACCAGTTTTCACCAGGTGCAAAAATTAAGTCCTCCCTCTTCCAAGACAAATTAGAGAATTTTTAGATGGGTCTAAAAATATGTTAGATTTTCCACAAAAATGCAAAACTGCATCTAAAATATACAGTAGAATCAGAGTTCAGGATAATCCTTAAAAAATTGCTTGTTTGTTTTCACATTTTTGAAACATGTCCTGTTTTGCTTAAAAGAGCATGCTCATGTAAACCAGCTTGTTTTAATTTATAAGAGCAATAAGCTGTTGTACTGATACATTAACTATTCACTGACAAAAATATAAAGCCAAAGTAAAAAACTGTTTCCAATACTATAAAAGTTTAAAATAAATACTACGAAAAGCCTAAAAATGTTAGTTTAGGCATTAAAAAAACCATTATTTCCAGTCCAGACTGGATGTTAAATCAGAACCTCTAGCCCCTAAGCTTTCCACATCTTGTCTCAATTTTCAAAATTATGGAAGTAATAGATAAACAATAGTGAAAATACACATCTGCAATTTGAAAAATTGTAACCCAATTAGCCTTGTAAAGGCTAATTTGAAAAGGTCTATGAAAAATATTGTATTGTCAATAAATAAAACTTAAATTGTTTTTTATTTTCAGGATTGAGATGTTAATTAAATATACAATTAAAGATGTGGTCAATAGAAAATAAGTTCAAAATAACTGCATAAAAAAAAAAAATAATCATTAAATTAGATTTTAAATTCAATTAGTTTTACAGTAATTATACTTTTAAGTTACTTCTATAAAAAAAGTTTATTATTACAGTTGACCCCCTATAACACTGTTTATAATTCCGTTTTATATGAATTCCATGTTGTACGAGTCACTTAAATTTTACAAATACGTGTGCCTGGCTGTGAACGGCTCACGTATTTGTAAAATCTAAGTGACTCGTACAACATGGAATTCATATAAAACAGAATTATCAACAGTGTTATAGGGGCGGTCAACTGTATTAGTTTCAGCTATCAGAGTCAAAGCAAAGCACTGACCCCACACACAATAAAAAAGTTTGACTACACACACACACAAGTCAAGTTGACAATTTTTGAGGTTGGTTTTCCCACCCCTTAAGTGACTGAAGTAATTCTGAACACCTCATTCAAAAAGATAATTGTTTCTTAGGTAGAGTGCAGAATTTCAGAGTATAAAAAGGTTGCCAAAATATAAGCAATAGAAAAGTGCAAAATTCACTGAAAAAAAAGCTGTATTTTCTTTTTCTTCCTCCACTACTTCAGATGCTCCTAGAGAAAAACTACTGGGTCTAAACACTCAAATTTTAAACTTAAGACTCTCATAAGTGAGGTGCTGGCAAAACTTCCAGGTCAATAGGTCAAAGTTCAGGGGGTTACACCACAGCTTTTTCATTTTTAAAGGCTTAATTTTATGCTTATAAGGATAAAACTGTATCAAAACAAATTATTCAAAATATTATCCAGAACAACAAAAACTCAAATTTCTGAAATTAACATTTTTCATAACAATTTTATTAAATGGTGTATTCAAAGCATCCAGTCCAACTACCAACTGAACCAGACATTATCTGATGTAATAACAAATCATAAAAAAAATTTGATATGTAAAAAAATTGCACCAAGTAAAAGTTATGACAATTTAGGTAACAAATGTTTTTTTCAAGCTTTTATGATAGAGTTTGGCGCTTTAAAGAAAAATGTAGGAAAACAATAAAATCTTATGGGTACCACTTTGAAACACCAAGCTTATCTTTAAGAAAAACTCCTAAGAAAAAAACTGACTCATCTAAATTGTCATAATTTTTTACCTGAAAACTTTTACATCTCAAAATGTTTTTGTTTGGATTTATAGATAATAAATAGAAATTTCAGTTTAAAATAACTCTTCTATTTTAATTTTAATGATCATATGAAAATTCTGCTCAAATTTATTGGAGAGAAACAATGAAGACAGACAAAAACTACCTTTTATTATACAGGGTGTCCACAAAGTCTGCATACATAAGGATTAACACATACTTTTAAAACAAAATTTTATTTGATTCTAATATTAATAAATAACATTTTCAATACATAATTTGATATGCCTTGCAAAATTCAAGTGAACTCTTAAATAGGTCTGTATTGCCGCCGATTTCAGCAGACTGACTGGTAATGGTGTCCACAAATTATGGCTCATCAAATTATGTATTGAAAATGTTATTTATTAATATTAGAATCAAATAAAATTATTTTGTTTTAAAATTATGTGTTAATCCTTATGTATCCAGACTTTGTGAACACCCTGTATATAAACAAATTCTATTCATATATGTAACGTTGAAGATATTTTCAATCTTGTACTACTCCGTTTTAGGCTGTAAACTTATTCAAAGTAAATAATATATAGAAAAATTCATAAAAATTATCCCTTACCTTTAGGTCAAATTACTTAACATTTAATTATTAATAGCAGCATTAATATAGCCCAATATAATCTGGCAATCAATTGGCTTTAATCTAATAAATCAGGTTTAGATTTTATATATAAAATATATATATTAGATTTTATATATATATAATCTAAACCTGATTTATATATATAAATGCATGTGCACGTGTGTAAGTATACATACTTACATTATACACACACCATATCAGGGTAAAGTGGTAACAGGCTAAGTGCCAATTATTCATTATAATTTAGTGTAGATTGTATATCTACACTAATTTATAATGATCTATGTAATCTACACTAATTAGTATAGATTGTATATCTACACTAATAATTGGCACTTAGTTTTTGATAAAGCTGTACTTTATAGTACAGCTTTATCAAAAACTTAAAAAAAATGAAGTAAATAACCACGTTAAGAATTGAAAAAGTCTGAAAAATACAAGAGCAATTAAAAATGAAAAATAAAATATGTATCACTTAAAAACCATAAACTTTTTAAATTTTAGTTTATTTAAAGGTTTTGCTTTTAAAATGTACATTTATTTAATTAATTTCAAAGAAATTTACTAATATTTGTTTTATTAAAAAAAAAAAAAAAAAAATGTATCTGTTAAGGTTTTGCTACTTCATTTGTTTTTGAATTTTCAAGTAAAAATTTTGAAACTAGCAATGGCTAACTTCAAAATTTTTAGTACAGTAGTAATTATTTAAAAAAAATCAATTTTAACTTTCTACTATCAATTGTTTGAAGAATAAATATTTACATAAATAAGATTTCTAGAAAATGTGGATCTTTGATCCAAGAGAATATTAATCTGATTGGTTGTCATGTATAAAAGTTTAGTCAGCTTGGTCATATTTCTATTTTAATATTAGAAGTACAATGTAAATCAAGAGAATTATAAATGAAGTGATTACTTTCCAATTGACATAATGTAGTTTATATGCAGCTTATTCCCAACAATTTAACTGTTTAAATAATTTTAAAAACAACTGATTTTTCTTTTGTATTTGAAAAGTATAAAAATTATTTGTCAATATAACTTAAGTACAGTATAATCATTTCATTAAAAAAGTTTTGATATTTAACAAATATAACCAATTAGACAACAAACAGCTGAATGGCATTTTTGTGTGTTGACTAAAGTACAAATTCTCAGTAACAAGAATTACATAAAAGTTGGTTTTTTATATAAATAGGTTAGTTAATAAAAATTATTTTACAATCACTAACAAATTTTTTTCCTGCTAACTGTTTATATTATAAAGAATATGAGAAAAATATATTATGGGGAAATCAATTTACTCAAAACTTGAGTTTATTCTAGTTTAGGAAAAGACATGCTTAAAAATTTTTGTCATCCAAAACCTATTTTCAATACAAGTTATAATCATGAAAACAAATTAGAAATAAAAAAATTTACCATATTTGTAATTTTATTTTCTTTCCTTTTAATTCTATTGTTTTGATTTTGAAGTCAATACCTGGAAAAAAAAATATTTTTTAAAAATTTTAATTAAAGAAAATTTATAAAATTACTTAAATTTTTTTCTTTAACATTTTGAAAAAAATTAACCAATAAAGCATTCTCTTTATGTTTCTCAAGATTGGGGGTGTGGGGATGGACAGACATGCATACATACAAATGTAGATTCTACATTTGTGTATATATATATATATATATATACACACACACACACAAATGTATATATATATATATATCCGTCTTGAAACCCGATAAACAGAAGAATAAGATATATATATATATATAT